TGAAACTTTTAAGACTGATGTTAAATGTTTCAAACTTGCAAGTGTTCAACTTTTGAGTATCTCTACTATAAACAAAGTTTGAGTATGCACCACAAAAAAAAAAATAGCAAATTGCCTATCAAAATTTAGTCTCCCATTATTTGCTACTCCTATATTATTGGACTAGCAACACTTCTAGCTGAAAAAAAAATCTAAATTTCTAAGCTGCCTTTGCAGATAAAGATATTATGTTAGGGTTCTTTAGAGGATGATAACCAATGCAATATAGATATATATAACTATAAGAAGAGACTTATTAGATTTATTGGATCATGTGATCAGAGGCTGAATAGTCTCACAATTGCTATTTGCACCCTGGACACTGAAGGAAACCAGTTACTGCTCAGTCCAAGAAGTGGACTGAGAACAAGAGTTTTCAGTCCAAGTCTCAGAACAAGAGTCAGTGAAGCTCAGTCTGGGATTGAGACCTGGCAGCTCCCTGGAGAATTTCAGTAGCAAATCTTCATTCAAAGGCTGAAAATTCTGGAACCTGATGTTTCAATGCAATGGCAAAAACCAAACACACCAGCACAGATGAATCTAGCCCTCCCTCCTGTAGGCCTGGGAGCTTCCTTTCATGTTTTATGTTCCATGAAGGCACCCGTCCTATTGAAGGACGCTGCTCACAATCAGGGCAGATCTTTCCCCTCAGTTTGCTAACCCACATACCAATCATATCTGGGAACATCCTCATAGGCACACCCTTTCCTTTTAAGTTACTCTTACTTTTTCAATTATGCGCATGTTTTGGGGGGGGTGCACCTGAATACAGTTCCTTATGGAGGCCAAAAGTATTTGGATCCTCCTGGAGCTTGAATTACAGACGGTTGTGAGCCTCCCAACTGAGATGCTGGGAACCAAAATCAGGTCCTCTGGAAGAGCAAGAGGTGCCTTACTGCTAAGCCATTGCTTCAGCCCCTGCTCTACCAGTGTTCTGGATGTCTATCAGTCCAGTTAAGCAGACAACCAAGGTGAACCATCACAGGTACGTAGTGAGATTATAAGTCTTAAAGTAGAGCTCTAAGAAAGAGATCTTAAAAGGATTATTTATCTATCACTTCTCCATTTCTTCTTCTCCCTACCTAGAACAAAGCACCAATTTCGTGACTGTGAGAAGACAAACCAATGAGAAAAGCAAGACAGAACCAAGACTAGGAAGTTTGAATGCTTTAAAGGAGCATAAGGCAACAACAGGACTGCTTACTTCAGAAATTCTTTCATCTGAAGGAAAACCAAACACTTCTCCTGTTAAGCCAAGCCAAAATCAATTCCTCATAGCTCAGCTAATGGTCCATTTTCTTCATCTTCTAAGTGAAGCTTCTTTAAACACTAAAGTTTACCACTAGAAACAGCCCACTAACTAGGACTAGAACAACTGGTCACCTGTACACAGAAGAATGAAGCTAACCAGAGATCTGATACCTTTCCCCAAAATAAGTCAAAATGTATTTGAAACAAAAATATAAAATGCAAAACTGATAATGGACAGAAGACAGGGGCTTTAGATAGATTACAATCTGGTAATCATCCTTGTTTTGGGGAAGAGAGAGGTAGAGATGGAATCCAGGGACTTGGCTACACTAGACAAGTACTACAGTACTGAGCACCATCCCCAGAATGACCAGGTTTTAGATATAAAACCAAAAGCATTATACATGAAGGACAATTGAGGGGCAGGGAACCTGCTCTGAAAAGGCTACATATTGTATGATTCCAACTTCATGACATTCTGGAAAAGGAAAACGTTTAGAGGCTGTATACATCCTTTATGTCTGAGGTTATGAGGAGGGAGGACTGAACAGACAGAGAACACAGTGTTTTCAGGGCAATGAAATCATTCTGTTTGCTGTCATAATGGTGGATACACATCATTATACACTTGGAGAAATTCATGGACAATATAACACCAAGAGAGAAGCCTATTGGAAAACCTGGCCCCTGAGTGATGGCTGTATCTATGCAAATGCTCCACAAATGCAACAAATGTGCCACTCTGTAGAGCACACTGATAATGTAGGAGGCCATGCATGCATGGAGGTAGGGAAATCCTTGAACTCTCTGCACCTTCTACTCAATGTCTCTGTAATCCTAACACTGCTCTTTAAAAGTCTACTAGGGGGCCAGGCGTGGTGGTACACGCCTTTAATCCCAGCACTCGGGAGGCAGAGGCAAGAGGATCTCTGTGAATTCAAGGCCAGCCTGGTCTACATAGTGAGTTCCAGGACAGCTGGGGCTACAGGGAGACCCTTTTTCAAAAAGACCAAAAAAAAAAAAACAAAAAAAAACACAAAAGTCTATTAAGGAAAACAAAACTTTCTTCCCAACTGAAAGTTGTTTCAGTTTCACAACTGAAAACAGAAACTAAATATAAACTGCCCTCCACTTAACCAGAGTCCTGAGTTTCCAGGCTGTTGCTTTCATTAATCAGCATCCTTATAAATATCTGATTTTTTAATGTAACTAAAGTGATTTTCCTGTGTCTTAGAAGCAGGGCAGCAATAATGAAGAGTACTGTGTTTCCTAGGAAAGCACTAATGTGAACTTCTAAATAGGTTTGAAAATACTACTACCTTTCATGAGAAAGTTTGAAATTTGAAGGGTTACCTGATCATATGGAAACTCTAAATTCCACAGGGTATGTGGAAGCCACTTTCCTAGGGAACCAGATTTCCACCTATAGCAGTGTTCAAGTACAGAAGCCTGATTATTTCTATCTTGGCAACTCAGCACCTACTGGACGTGGTCATCATGTTTACCTGTAGTTCCAAGCACTCAGGATCATGAGGTTGAGGCTAGCCTGAGCTATATAGTGAAAGTCTATCTTGAAAAAAACAAATAAAATATAGTTGTAATTGGTTAATATGAAATGTTGAGATCTTTGATGAGAAACAGCAGTCCCCAATTCAGTTTCTCCCCTCCAATAAATACCCTGGAGGATAATATTTCCTATGTTTCTGTTTCTAGGAATTTGGGTGGCTATCTCTATAACTCTGCTGTTTGATTCTTTCTGATGTCCTGGCTTATCAACTTAAGATAACATGTTCTGAGGGTTACGATATGAAATGTGGGGAGTAAACCCACCTTTCTGCTCCCACTTCCTGTCTTCCCAGGGTTGGATGTTTATGTTGCAATTTTTGGCCTTGTATTGGTTAACTGTTAACTATAAATAACATAGCAAACACATATTTCTCATTACATCGATTTTCCAAAGTTCTTGAACATGTTTTGTGACACATTTTAGTACCTAAGCATATTCTTTCTCATTATTCTAAAAGATGGAAATCAATAAACACAACTGTAATGACTGTGTAAAATTGTTGTAATGTGCTAGAAACATTCCTGTCTTCACAAGTCTCATTGAATGACACTGAGTAGCATGCCAAGAGGTGATAGATACATGATGGATGGATAAAGAGAGAGATGATATTTAGATAAGCAGACAGATGAAAGATAGATAATAGCTATAGATGATAGATAGATAGATAGATAGATAGATAGATGATAGATAGATAGATAGATAGATAGATAGATAGATAGATAGATAGATAGATAGATAGATAGATAGATAGATAGATAGATAGATAGATAGATAGATAGATAGATAGATAGATAGATAGATAGATAGATAGATAGATAGATAGATAGATAGATAGATAGATAGATAGATAGATAGATAGATAGATAGATAGATAGATAGATAGATAGATAGATAGATAGATAGATAGATAGATAGATAGATAGATAGATAGATAGATAGATAGATAGATAGATAGATAGATAGATAGATAGATAGATAGATAGATAGATAGATAGATAGATAGATAGATAGATAGATAGATAGATAGATAGATAGATAGATAGATAGATAGATAGATAGATAGATAGATAGATAGATAGATAGATAGATAGATAGATAGATAGATAGATAGATAGATAGATAGATAGATAGATAGATAGATAGATAGATAGATAGATAGATAGATAGATAGATAGATAGATAGATAGATAGATAGATAGATAGATAGATAGATAGATAGATAGATAGATAGATAGATAGATAGATAGATAGATAGATAGATAGATAGATAGATAGATAGATAGATAGATAGATAGATAGATAGATAGATAGATAGATAGATAGATAGATAGATAGATAGATAGATAGATAGATAGATAGATAGATAGATAGATAGATAGATAGATAGATAGATAGATAGATAGATAGATAGATAGATAGATAGATAGATAGATAGATAGATAGATAGATAGATAGATAGATAGATAGATAGATAGATAGATAGATAGATAGATAGATAGATAGATAGATAGATAGATAGATAGATAGATAGATAGATAGATAGATGATAGATAGATACATGGGTTCCTAAAATTGGGTGGGCAGGGGTAGTAAACAGGGTGCAGACACAGGAGGGGATCTAAATACGATCAAAATATGTTGTATAAAATTTGCAAAATGATGTAGGGGCAGGGGTCATCACAGAGAGAGAAAGAGAGAGAGAGAGAGAGATAATGATAGATAGATATAGAGGATAGGTAGATAGATTGATGATAGCTAGATAGAGGATAGTAGATTTTTTCTGATTGAATTCAATAAATATTTATTTTGAAAGTTAATACGAAATCTGACAAAGATTTAAAAGAACATTTATGTACTTACAGAAAAACAACTGTGATTTAGGAAAAGTTATGGAAGTAAGGTGCAAGTGCTGACAGTATACATGCTGACAGAGAAAATGTCTCAAACCTTTGAGACTGTCAGACAAACAGAAAGAAAAGAAGGTGAGTGGAACAAAAGAGAAAGTGCAAGTTATACAGTTTCTAAGAGACGAAGTATAAATGTGTATGTGTGATTAAAATGTGTTATTTGCTTGCCTTTATAATGTATTACCTCATATATGTGTAATACAGATTTTAAATTTTATTATAAAATTGTTCCTATTTAGCTTTTATTCATAATCATAAACTTAACTCTGTAATCCAGCTAGACTGGGTGAGGGGTGGGGGGGATATAAAGAGACTATGGAACCCAAAGACCTGCATCCAGAGCACAAAGAATATAGAATACCGCAAGCAGATGGGGTGGAGGGTGCTCTCCTGAGCTACAGAAGGAATGGTCTGGTGGTTAAGATGCACACAAGTCAAAACTATCAGAGCTATCCTCAGTCGGCACTGGTGATGTTCTTGCTGGTCTTGCCATTCCTGGGCCCAAAGCACTCCATGGCTTCCACTATGCTCTTGCCTTCTTCTACCGCCCCAAAGACCTTGTGTTTGCCATTCAACCATGCAGTCTTGGCAGTGCAGATAAAAATCCGTGAACCTTTTGTGTTTGGTCCAGCATTTGCCATGGACGAGATACCAGGACCTGTATGGTTCAGGATGAAGTTCTCATCCTCGAATTTCTCCCCACCCACAGATCGACTTGCCGCCAGTGCCATTATGGCGTGTGAAGTCTCCACCCTGGCACATGAATCCTGGAGTAATTCTGTGAAAGGAGGAGCCCTTATAACCAAATCCTTTCTCTCTAGTGCTCAGAGTACCAAAGTTTTCTGCTGTCTTTGGAACTTTGTCTGGAAACATCTCGAAGGAGATGCGACCCAAAGGCTTGTCAACAACTGAGATGTCTCAAAGAACACAGTGGGGTAGACCATGGCTGACAGCGAGCAGCTACAGTGGACAGCGCATGTGCAGTCAAATTTTATTATAAATTTTTGCTACTTATTCCCATATATTATACATCTATTAGCACAATTTTAATTTTTACCAATTTCTATATGAATATAAAAGTTTTCTTTAACATGAAAATTATAAAACTATAAGAATATGAGTAACCCTTCTTGTTTAAAGGTATGAGGTATGCCTTCCAAAAGTTCCTCATCCATATGCATATTGTAGAAGGTGAGTAACTCTGATATGTGTGACATCCACACTGATGAAATTGCTCTTTGCTTTACAGCTCTTCAACCTCCCCTTTGTTTTCCAAAATACCAAATGCTCTTTATTTTATTTTATTTTATTTATTTATTTATTTATTTATTTATTTATTTATTTATTTATTTTTGTCTTTTTGAAGCAGGTCTCCCTTGTAGTTCCAGCTGTCCTGAAACTCACTTTGTAGACCAGGCTGGCTTTGAACTCGTAGAAATCTGCCTGCTTCTACCTCCCGTGTATAATTTTATAAAATAAATATACACCTGGCTCCAAATGCTCTTTTAAACTGTGTTTCTGCATGGCCATTTCCAAAAGTAGTATTTTTTTTCAATAGTACTTTCAATGTTCTAATAAAACCAACTAAATGGATCAAGTCTGTGTGTGTAAGTCTATGTGTGTCTATGTGTGTAATGTGTTCATGTATGACAGATGTATAGATATATGTGTATTCATGCATGTAGAAGTGAAAAGTTGACATCGAATATCCTCCCCAATCATTCTGCACTTTTTTTAATATATTTTTATGGATATGTGTATATTGCCTGCATGTATATAAGTACCCCCGTGTCGTGCAATGCTCACGGAAGACAGAAGAGGCTGTCAGATCCCCTGGAACTGGAGTTACAGACAGTTGTTAGCTGCCATGTGGGTGCTGGGATTCAAACCCAGGTGCAAGAACAGCCAGTGTTCTTAATCGTTGAGCCATCTCTCCAGCCCATGCACTTTATTTTTTTAAATGGTCTCACTAAACCTTGAGCTCACCAATTCTGCTAGATTAGCTGCCCAACAAGCCCCAGGGACCTTTGTGTCCCTGCTTCCCCAGTACTGAGATCATGTGTATTTACCATCACACATGGCTTTTTACATGGTCGCTGAAGCTATAGACAGGTCTTCCTGCTTGCACAGTGTGATTGTTAATCTCAGTTGTCAACTTAATGAGATCTAGAATCATCTGAGAGATAAGACTCTGGGTATGCCTGTAAGGGAATACCTTAATTAGGTTAACTGAAGTAGGAAGATCTGCCCACTGTGGTTGGCACTATTCTCTGAACTGGAATCCTGGATTATACAAAAAGCTGGAGTTACAGACAGTTGTTAGCTGCCATGTGGGTGCTGGGATTCAAACCCAGGTGCAAGAACAGCCAGTGTTCTTAATCGTTGAGCCATCTCTCCAGCCCATGCACTTTATTTTTTTAAATGGTCTCACTAAACCTTGAGCTCACCAATTCTGCTAGATTAGCTGCCCAACAAGCCCCAGGGACCTTTGTGTCCCTGCTTCCCCAGTACTGAGATCATGTGTATTTACCATCACACATGGCTTTTTACATGGTCGCTGAAGCTATAGACAGGTCTTCCTGCTTGCACAGTGTGATTGTTAATCTCAGTTGTCAACTTAATGAGATCTAGAATCATCTGAGAGATAAGACTCTGGGTATGCCTGTAAGGGAATACCTTAATTAGGTTAACTGAAGTAGGAAGATCTGCCCACTGTGGTTGGCACTATTCTCTGAACTGGAATCCTGGATTATACAAAAAGGAGATGAGATTATCGATGCAAAGTAACCAGCTCTCAAGCTCCTGATGTCTTGATTTCTTCACCATGATAGAATGAATCCTCAAACTGCCACCAGACAAAATAAACTCTTTCTTACTTTGGTTAATTTTGACAGACTATTTTATCACAGTGATAGAAGAGACTAAGACATTCAGCAAGCACTTTACTGACTGAGCTAACTCCTCAGCACCTTCAGATTTTTTTAATGGTGTAGAATAGATTGGGATATCATCATGGCAAGTGTCATTTCTGAAACTGTTTTAGCTGTACAAATCCACATCATGAATGGAATAGCAAAGAAAATGCAATTTTTATTGCCATAGACAAAAATACATAAGAAACACCATCCTAGAAATTTTGATGCTAGAAAAGTAACACTATCCAGGGAGCATTTTTTTTCCTGAAATCACATGTGATCAGCCATGTTTGAATTTTCAACACCATCACCAACAGCAATACCAAATGAGGTTTAGTAAGTGCCTATGCAATTGTGGAATTCAGGCAGCACTCAGCCTTGTTAAGTCAGAGTGCTGTGGTGTGGCTTTACTGATTGTACCACTCTAAACATGTTTTCTTCACTGAAGCAGATAGGTAGGGTTTGCAAGATGAGGTGTCTATCTGTAAGAATGCTTAAAGTAATTAACTTACTACAAAACTGTAGAAGGTGAGTCATTCTCAATTATATGCCCACTAACATTTGTGATATAATAAAATACGAAGAATACATAGTATTCTTCATGCCCAAGAAACTGTCACTAACCTCCAATATATGTGTGTGTGTGTGTGTGTGTGTGTGTGTGTGTGTGTGCGCGCTAAATGAAGTCATTACTGGTTAATTTTCAATCCTTTTCTATATCCTACAATGGAGAGGTTTTAAAGTTCAGCAGGTGAACACTGCTCAATATCTACTGCATCTATCAGGGAAAGGGCTTTTATAGGCCATAAGGCAAGGAACATAGAGAATTTTTCTGAACCTGAAGTTCAAATAGAAGAAGTAAAGCACAAATCAACATTGCTTCCTATTTCAAAAGGCTTAACAATTATATGGAAACCTACTACTATAGAAGCTTCATAAAGTATATAATACACAACATAAAAAGATACTAAAAGAAGTTACTTTCTAGCAGGGAGAAATGGCCCCTACTAGACACTGCATACTAGCAAAGTAAAAGCCCAATGCCAAAAATGTTTTCTCTCTTTTGAAGTTTCTGACCAGAGGTCAATAGACCCTCAAATACTACTGGCCAATGGCCCTGCTCTTGGTTGCCTATTAGAACTTGACTATGTCTTTATTGATAAAGACACTACATACATGACCCATAGAGCAAACAAGGAAAAATCAAACTGGTACTGACTTTAAAACTTCATCTCTACTGTCTAGCTTTCTTAGTGCTGGAAGATCTTACCCATACAAACAGAGGAGAAAATTTATCATCTACCTCACCCAGCTGTGAATCCTGCATACTTCACCAACAACTGGCTGGCAAGATATGCCCTCCGGTATAATAGTGGCACAAATATTATAGGAGTAACCA